TTTTATCCTATAAAAAGGTGTTGATTTAAAGGCATTTTTTGAATACATGAATTTACTGGTGGACGATGTTACTTTAGCTAAAAGAAAACTATTTTACTTAAGATTTTAATAAACGCATTTGTTGCATATACCAAGCTATCAGTAAATAATTATTGAAAATTGTTTAAAGTATTTTAAACAGTTATTAACTATATTTTAATAAATTTAATTTAAAATAATAATTAAAAATATTTTAAACAATTTTTAATCAATATTTACATTACACAATATATATATATATATATATATATATATATATATATATATATATATATATATATATATATATATATATATTATATATGTATATATATATATATATATATATATATATATATATATATATATATATATATATATATATATATATATATATATATATATATATATATATATATATATATATATATATATATATATATATATATATATATATATATATATATATATATATATATATATATATATATGAAGGGTTCATGGGGAAAACGATGAGATTCCAAATTTGCCTGAAAAAATTGTGCTAGTGCCATCTAGTAGCATTTTTTATCCCTTTTCTAGTAGCATTTTTTATCCCTGTCCTACAGCATTTGTAGTGATGTTAATAATCTTTCAGATTTGTGTATTAGTATCAATAAATTTACAGTTAAGATATTTGTTTGTTCTGCAAGAAGAACGAATGTCCCCCATCAACTTTACAGCTCTCTTGGCTACTATGTTGGTTCGAAGCATATCAAGTACTGATGGTTTCTTCTTACAGTGGGTAGAAAAGCATTTCACAGCTTTGGAACACTTAAGTTGGGATATTGCTGACAGCAGGTCTACGTAAGTCGCCTCTGCATAGTGCTGGTTTGAAAACCAAGCCCGCAACCATGTAGTTGCAACAAAATCGCAAGTTATCCTCAGCTGTTCTCGCCAGTTTGGAAGAATGAAAAATGTAATAAGCGCAAAAATGCCACTTGAGTTCCACCTGGCACTGTGCAGTGATGGCAGCTTGTGCCATTTGATACGAGGCCATTTTTCCTCATTTTTGTAAAACTTGTATGCTTCACAAAGCTGAAAAAGAAATTTAAAGTCATCTCTCCAGCCAAGGTTCTCATACTCTGCTACCACTGCTGTGCCCTTGTAGGCATTTTTTAAATCATCGTAATGCTCCATAATCTCATCAATAAATTTGTAGTTAATGTTAGGTGACTGTGACTGTATAGGAAAAAAGAAATCCAACACATTTCGTAGAACAAGATCAAAAATGTGGTGTTGGCAGCAGATTTATTGAGGTTCATCGAATCCCTTGTCTCGAAATATTTTCTGAAGCTTGGCTACAACTCCATTTTTGCGACCAGTATTTACAGCTGTTGTGTCAGAGATGATCATCTGAATACTGTTCCATGCATTGTAATCATCAAGTAGGTCCTGTAGTGGTTTATATATGCTTGCAGATGATCCACTGTCACAAACCAAAATGCCAAGTTGTAATGTTCTTTTGTCATTTTTCAAGCACATAACTTGGTACTCAGTCTTGTCAATTTTCTTACCATCAAAATGCAAAGAAAATTTCTCTTCTGAGATCAGTTCCATGAGGCGGTTCTTAACTTGTTCTGCATCTCTGATTGTTTGACGCTAGACTCCAGACTGTGATGGTGTTGGGACACAAACTCCATCCTAAGCCAGACTTTGAAGCACCCGTGACGTTTTTCTGGTTGACAAAGAGTGACTAGACACTAGTTTGGAAGCAGACTTAGTTGGCTGGCGTTGCACGCTTTCTGCGAGATACTCCTGGAACTGCCTCCGAGTTACCACTGCTGCTTCTTTCCTCAGAATCCTCACTATCGCAGGAAAGTGGTACGGAGATAACCGCTTGGTTTGTCGAGGGTTCTGATGTGCTTTTGGCCCTTTTTGATGGATGGATTGTTGACATAGGAGCCACTTTCATAGTTGTATATCCCACCCTGCCATCTGATTCAATTTGTACTTTGTACAGTTGTTTGTCCTCACTACAAAGTTATATCGAACAGATGAGCAAAATTTTCTTCAAATACTGCATTTGGTCGCTTTCTGTGTTTCTCAAATGCTGTGATAAGTTTGTAAACATTAGCAGACACTTGTTGTTTGGAAAGAACAGGAAAATTAAACTTCTGCCAAAGATTCATTAATTCCTCTGATATTTTTTTTAATTCAATTCATTAAAGAGTTCCAAGAATCTTCCAGAGATATCTCTGTTGGAAGGCATTTTACACAATTTGTCCCTCACAATTTGTCCCTCTGTTTTACCTGTAGTATATTAGGACGGCGCTTCATGCTTGATTTCAAATTTTGTGTTCATATTTCACTTTTTACTTTTAAAGGACATATTTTCAAAAAGAAGCACTAAAAAGCAGATATTGCAAATTAATACTGCAAATAATGAAAAATTTTTTTAAATACTTCTCAATATTTTAATCGCGCGAACATTAAAAAATACTCAACAACAAACAACAACAAACGCGCATTAATTTGGAAAACAGTCGTTAAAATTTGTTATTCAAAATTGAGTTACATAACATAAAAACAATTTAAAACTATCAAACTTTTTCATTCTATGTTAATTAGCTTTTTAAACTGTTTGGCGCTCTCCAACTTGTAGTTGTATTCAAGCATAGTCAAGCATAAGGAAGTAAGAACTGGAAACAAAATCAAGTGAAAAATCAAAAAAGTTGAAAGTGGTGAGGTACTAGGTGTGGGAGGTTTTTTTGTGATCCAATGAAACAAACCTCAAAACAGTGATCTATTGGTAAAAGTTCATCAAATGCAACATCAGGAAAATTAAAATTTTGAAAAAAGTTTTTTTGTCATATACCTAAAAAGCATTTAATAAACAAATTCGATAAGCATTTAATAAACGTATTTAATAAACTATTGGAATAAAAACATAAGCATTTAATAAACTTATTTTCTATTATTTTAAATTTAAAATTTTGATTTAAATATTAGTAAATCTGTTCATTTAACTTACTGAAGGTTATAATTTTTAAAGTGATTTTAAGGCGCCTTTTAAATTAGAGTTAATTAAAGAGATATTTACAGTTAACATAATCTAAAAAATATTCTATTATTTTGATTAAAAACCATATTATATTTTTTAAAAACATATATTTAAATATATATTTTTTAATTATAAAAAATAATTTAAAAAATTACATTTGAATAAATAAATTACATTTCCTATGGGTTATTTTAAACAGATCTAAATAAAATTTTTATTAAGTTATTGAAAACTTTTTTTTTTATTATTTTAAAAAGAATATTGAAAGGAAAAAAAACTGTCTGAAAAAGTTTTTTCGTTTTCCTCAGGTAAACTAAAATAGCAAGCTAAAGATCAAAAGTTCATTTATTTAAAAATTAAACTTGCGCAATAGTTACAAGGACTGATATTTTTTACTTTTGTTCATTTATTATCAAAAGCAGTTTACTCTTAATTGCCAAAAACAAAAATTAACCTAACGCTAAATGGATATTTAAAAACCTTTTAATTTTCAAAAAAGCAAATCTTTTATATCTTCCATTGTTATAAAATTTTGCAACGCGGTTTTAAAATTAAGTTTTGTAACAACTTTCATTTTTTTAAAAAGTTATGTACAGTTAATAACCGAAGGCAAATTACGTCATGTAGTTATGTAAAAAAGCAATTTCTTTTTAATTCTTTTTATTTTCCTGAAGAAAAAATGAGGTAGTTAAATTATACTGAGAATTATTTATATACTACTGGATTTAAAACTAAATTTTTTTTTCTCTTTTTCATAAAAAATCAAAAGAAAAATTAAAATTAAAAATAATTTTTTTTACCGGTAAAACGGTACTAAAACACGTCTGGGTTCTTCACTGATATACATGGAATAATAGTTTTAAACATTTAAATTTTTCATAAAAAAACATGCCTACTGAAAAAGTTTAATTATAAAATTCAATTTACACAAAATGTGTTTGTTTTAAACGATCATTGTAATTAAGTTTTAGTTTTTTTAAAAAACCTTCGCCTAAAATAAAAACTTTAAAAAAGATCAACAATTAAAAGTTGTTTGTAACCTAACAATTTTTTTATTGTTAAAGCATCAAAACAGCTGATTCAGTAAAAGGTTTTTGACTGGATTTTACTCATGATTCCAAAGAATTAGCTCAATGTTTTTTGTATAAATGTTGATTATCTGGTTGTTGAATTTCTGATTGCTTGACTGTAAGAGGTCTGTCACTAACACTAAGTGATATGAAATCACTTTCCCTAAATATTTGTCTATTGAGTGGATAGATCCCACATTTTGCTAAAATTTTGGCTAAAATGTTGTCACTTGTCATCCAACCATATCTGTTACATAACCCTAAGTTTCCTATCTGTGCTTCATTCATAAAATCCTTGTAGTTTAAAATAAAATTACTCATGAAATCCTTGTAGTTTTACTTGGAAATATAAATACAGAATGACCCTCTTTCTGCTGAAACAGCTTAGCTTCATGAGTTGAAATAATCTTTGGAGTATGTATGTATGTATGTATGCATGCAGCTAATCTAGATCTTTTCTGCCCTAATTAAAATTTGAGGACCTTTTTTTTTTTTTTTAACATTTTTTATATGGCAAATATTGTTTTTTTCGCAAAAAAAAAAGCTGATTTTCCACTAAAGTTCTCTGGAACAAGGGCGTACCACCGCCCAAATATTTTTCCTAGAATAGGCCCTGGCATGTATGTATGTATGTATGTATGTATGTATGTATGTATGTATGTATGTATGTATGTATGTATGTATGTATGTATGTATGTATGTATGTATGTATGTAAATACGCACAAGTTGTTAAAAATTTATCTAAATTTATTTTAAATTTTATTTTTAGATTTCATAGATGAATATGATATTTATAGTTGTATAATATAGTTATTTTGAATATTTTTATTTTAATAATATATTATATTTATAATATTTTTTTAATCAGATCTTTAAATCGGAGTGATGAAGAAGATAATGAATACAATGAAAAAGATGGGGTTGAAGTGTCAGGACTAACTCCTTATAGACCTGCTCATTATGGTACGTTGTTTACAATAAAAGTTTTCGGAAACCACAAAAAACAATTATCTTTTTTATTTTATTTTAAACAAGTTCACTCCCCGCTGCAAGCAACTTTAGGAGTTAACAGAAACAGGGATTATCTTTTTCTGGATATTTCCGGAATTCCAGATATTTTTCTCAACTTTTAGTTTTTCGGAATTTCCAATGTTTTCTATACATACATGCTTAAGTATACATTTTTGTAATATATTTCTTTTTTTCACTCATTACTTATACAAAAATTAAAAAAAGTAAAAAAAAAAAATGAAAACAACTCAGCTAAAAGCAATGTCAATAGGAATATAAGGGAAAATAATTTCCAGATTTTTTCCAGATATTTTAGCCAAACGATTTTCTGGATTTTTAAAATATGACCTGAATGATCTATGGAGAAAACAAAAAGATCTAGGATTAGGGTGAATTATACAAGCTTGAGTATGGTTAATGAACAAGTGATGATAGCTTGCTTGAGCAGTGACCATAGTAGTTTTTGTAGGAAAGGGAAAGAGATGCAGTTTTACTATGATGAGACAGAAGCTCAGGCTTAGTAGCTGGGACTTTGGTAACTTTGGACTGGAAACTTTGGTAGAGGTCATCATTAGAAGAAGTAGTCATGTTATATATTCATGAATAGCTTTTTATAGATGTAGAGAATGAAATCAGAAAAGTAAGAAAAGTAATTAAGAAAGTTAGCTTGATAGAGAAAAGGAAACTTTACCAGATGATAACTTTGCAATGAATATGTGATTTCTTTAAAAGAAAAGCAAAGTAGACTTTGTCTGTTAATCAGTATAGGAATATCCACAAGTTTGAAATATTATCAGTAAACAACTAATTTTCAAATTTTCAACTAGGTTCAAATTTGCTTACCACTAGTAGCCCCAAGCTGTCACAGAAGAGAAATCACACTCACAAACTGTTATAAACAATCAAAAAGGACTGACTTTTTTGCAAAAATTATTGTATACAATTGTGTTATCAGCAAATAAAGATTTATGTAAAAATGTCACAAAGATCAATAATATAGACAAGAAAAAAAAAACAATAACCAGGAATGGGTACAACCTTGTTATACCCCAGAGGTTACTGGAAATGAAGTAGAGTGTTTACCTTTAAGGACAACTTTATTATTACCATTAGAAACAAATGGTTTTAAAAAGTTTTAAAACCATTCAATTAATACACTGTGAAGCAAGTTAATGGAACAGGCCAGAGTGCCAGGCTTTATCAAAAACCTTAGGCCAAGACTAATAGTTTTTGCTTCACTACTCCCATCTAATGCATTTCAGCAATAGGATAAGAGGATTTTTTTTTTTTTTTTTTAAATTATCTTCGCTTCCAACAAGGTTGCAAGCAACCACTAATTAGTGTTGGAAGTTACTGGAAGAGAAAAGATGAAGATTGTAGAGCAGGATTGATTGACAGAGAGTCAATCACGGAAACTAAAGACAGAAATTAGGCTTTACTCAAGATAAAATAGAAATTTGTTAATTAAATGTTTTACTAACAATAAGAAGTAATTGTAGTGTATAAATAGGACTTTAACAATAAGAAGTAATTGTAGTGTATAAATAGGACTTTAATCTGAGTATAAAAGGTTTAAATTTTAGTCGCAGATAAGTTTTCAGCCAAAAGAAGAACAGATTCAGTTGAGCAAACCATTGCTTAACTGAATCATTGATGTCTACATAAAGCACCAAATAGAGTAGTATGAAAGGAGCATGTTTGATAATTTAATTTTCCACACATAGAAACACATGCCTTGTGGAATTCACAATCAACATTATTTAAAAAGAAGCATTGTATAGAGCTTGTGATTACATTTATTTATAATCTTAAATTTTATTCAAGTTAAGTTTGGGGTTATAATTGAAGAGGTTGTAAGTTTTAAATATTCTCTACTTTAAATTTGTTTAATTAAAATTGTTTAAATTTTAGTTTTAAAGCAAAAAAAAAAAAAAAATTAAAAAAAAAAAGTAATAAAAATACACTTTTGAACATAAATATTGTCTAATATTGTTTAACAATGTTGTCTAGACCAGAAATTTGTTTAAAAAGTAATAGGAAGAAGGTTCTGGTCAACAAAGTGTTGGAACACTTTGTTGACCAGAAGATCTAAAAGATTTAAAGTGGAAACAACTTAAGCAAAAGAAGCAAAAGGAATTTTAACAATGAATTAACATGACAAAAAGTGTCTGATCATAACATTCAAAAGTTGATTGGTAAAGTTCTTTACAAATAGTTTTTGCCTGATCCTTGAGAAATGTAGTAAAATCAGATCTTTGACACTAAATATTATTAAAGATTTTTAAAAAGTAAATACAAGGTTTAGTTATTTGAGAATAATGGAGTTTAGGGTCAGGTAATATATAAATTCTTTTGCATTCATTTCTTTGCTATGATATATGTTTGTTCTCATGGGATATTTTTACTAAAAAGATGAAAAAGATGAAAACAACAAATAGTAGCAGCACAACAAAAAGAAAACCATGAGGTAGAGTGAGTAAACATAAAATCAGGGAAAAGGAAAAAAGTTTTCAAGATAAACCCAGGAAAATTTTCTGCAGAGAGATGAAAGGCATCAGCCCAAGGACCAGCATAAAGAAAATCACAAAATCCTAGTTCAACGTTAAGGTTGTATTAGAAGACCAATGATTGTGTAAATCTGATGCAGAAATACAGGATAAAAATTTTAGTGAGATCATAGCATGATCTGAACCACATGAAGGAGAACAAGGATAAACTGAGCACATGCTAGAGTCAGAGATGAGGCACAAGTCAAGTAGTGAAGGTGATTAGGATTTTCTGGAAAATGAGTCACAAAATTAAACATCTGATTAAGAGGTTGAGAAAGACAATAATTTTGAGTTTTAAAGCCAGCAAGGCCAGTGTTACTAGAGCCAAGCTATTCATTGTTTTTAGCTGAGGGATAAAAAAAAAGTCAATTTAAGGTGATAAGGTGCTAGTATCTCATCACTCAATTACCTTTCTTTTTATTTTTTATTGTTCAACCCTGATTTAAAATAATCAAGTTGGCGTGCAAGTAATTGCCCAAGCCAAGCTAATGACTATTGAAGATTTTAGAGGTTTTTTTGAATAATATTTTTAATTACTTTATTCATATTTTTAATAATTAAAAACGTGGCTAAATTATATTTATTACATGACACTCTAAGCTATTAGCTAGACACAATGAGTATAAGCTATGTGGTTACCTCACTCTTGCTAATCAAAGTTTTAATAAAAGGCTCCTTATGTGGCTTCTACAATTCACACCAAAAGTACTCACAGCGAGACTGTTCATACTTTGAAATTTTATAGCTGTTGATGAAATCAGGTTCTGAGAGATACCAAAAAGTTAGGGAAATCCTACTACCAGCTGGTCAAAAAACCATTAAGATGAGTTTTAGAGCTTTATTCTCATTAAGTAATAACAGAAAAAGTTGCATAGTCACTACCATGGAGGAACAAGCTAAAAGTCAAGTTAAAAGTAAATTCAAGAAAATTTAGCATTTATCATTCTAGACAGGAAACAATTTAATATAGGTTTATGTCTATGCTAGTCTTTTAGATGAGGGAGTGTGAGGCTGGTCAACTTACTCCTAAATTTTATAATATATATATATATATATATATATATATATATATATATATATATATATATATATATATATATATATATATATATATATATATACACACTTACTAAAGCGTATTTTTATAAGCATTTGCTTATAAAAATATGCTTTAGTAAGTGTGTATATATATATAAAACGAAGAATGATGAATGAAACGATTGCTGCCCCATCCCAAACCCTCAGTCGATGTAGCAGCACTCCATTGCGAGTCAGGTTATTTGTCAGTCGATGTATGTACTGACGTCAGATTTCAGTATGACGTCAGATTGCTTACCTTAGTACGCAATACTATTTGTATGTATGTATATATATATATATATATATATATATATATATATATATATATATATATATATATATATATATATATATATATATATATATATATAAACCAATGGAATTAGGGTCGGCATTAAGCAATGCTGACCTAACTGCTAACCTGAAAGTGTTTGAGGTTGGCAAAATATTTATTTTTGCTGATCTCTTTTCTATGTTTTATGGTAACCTCTTTGTGTCAAATTTTTTTTGCCAACTTAATGCCGACCTCAAACAGTTTGAGATCGGCAATTTATTGCCAACCTCATTTTTCCTAATTCCAATGGCTGATATATATATATATATATATATATATATATATATATATATATATATATATATATATATATATATATATATATATATATATATATATATATTATATATATATATATATATATATATATATTTATATATGTATGTATGTATGTATTTATAGCAAAAAAAAATAAAGCAAAAAAAAATTTTTACACTAGATAAAACTTATTTTTGTTTAAATGCAAATTTTATTCATTTTAATTTAAATTTATTTGATCAAAATTTAAGTTAAATAATAATAATTTCTATTTCACAAAAAATAATAATTTCTATTTTTTAAGTTTTTTAATAACTTTAAAATGTTATAAATGAAGGTCAACCACAAAAAAATGACAAAAACTGAATTTTAAAATACATCTTCAAAGAGCTTAATTTATATTGTTAAATAAAAACTTCTACTATGAATGTTACTCTACTTTTAAATTGATTTTTCTACAATATTTCAATTTATTTTTTACTCGTTACCAAGTATAAAATAATTAAATGAATCCGTTAAAAACAAAACAAAAACAAATTTTAGATATAAACCTTTTGCATTGTTTTTTTTTTTTAAATAAACATTAAAATCAAACCTTATTCATGCCACGATCTAAAAATTATAAATGGAGTTTTC